TCCTCCGACCTCAAGCTAACTAAGCGGGATAGTGTGACGTGTATGTCGAAAGGTAGCCCCTAAAATCAACCCCCTCCACGACAGCCATTTGCCGCATTTCATCTTTTACCTTTCTAGAAAAGGTAGTTTGTATGTTTGCTGTCATTTCGGGTGCTTCACCAACACTGCACTATTTCATTATTTTTTGTGACACATCAGGTGGATCGCTCGAGCAGATTCACATCTTTGTCCTCTGCCACATACTTCGGCGTCCCGTGATCGTGTACGGAGTAAAGTACATAAATAACTACCGCGACGAGCCAATCGGAATCTCGAACTTTCAAGGTCAGTTTCGCGCATGACTGCGCACGTGTCTCTGTAATTTAGTTTCTACCACCCCGCGTCCCTATTGGTTGATCCTTTCTGTGTCCGCGTGTGTGTACTTGTTTTTATGCGTGTTCGCACTAGAAAGGATGCTATCGGCTGTCAAAAGTTTCACGTTTTTCTCTACATCTTGGGCAAGCTCCTAATCGAGGAAGTACTTGTTTTAATTCTTAATGCAAGACACGTGCACTATGCGGTTACTCTTTCGCTTGCTGGTTTGGTTGCATGCCGTTTTATTGATTGCCAATATCGTCATCTATTCCGTCTTTTTTTCGGAACGGCGGTCGACTAGTTCCCTCCTCGAGCCAGCTTGCCGTCATAGGTGTAAGTAGGCTGCTGCGTGAATTCTGAAGCCGACCGATTGCTACCGCAGCATTCTTCTTTTCAGACACCGGGAGCCGGGAGATTTGAAATGCTTACGCCCTACCAAGTTAACTTTAAGTAGTTATGAACAAGCTAAACATAATCTCAGATCCTCCAGGTATTTGGACTGAATTAATTCCACTGGCGACAACCTGCTGGAATCATTGACGTAATCAGAAATCGATCACGGCTGTGAAACACCAAAATACATCTCCCGGCAGAACTTTATTGAGGCTCGTCCAGGGGGTGCGGCACTCCACGAATACAAAGCGCCATCAGTTGAAGATAGTTGACT